GTGGAGTAATCATTAAAATGTGAAGTTGTATTCTTTTTAGATTTGAGTACTGACATTTTTTTAAACAAATTAAACTAAAAACTGTACAAATAGTAAAACACACATGCTAAATATCATTATTTATTTTGAGAAGATGGCCCTCTCCAGCTTATCCTAAAAATTAAAAAAAGGTTAAAAGACAACACAGAATACAAAGTTATAACACTACATTGTTTATAAAAGAACTCTGTGAGCTTCACTCATGTTTGCTAATTTGTTGTTTTTTAATTTTCTTTTTAACATTATAAGACATCTACACTTAAAACACATTTGGCAAAATACAACAATTTGGCAAAATAAATGTACTAATGTAAAGACTAACACTGATTATTTCAGTAAAGTGGCAGAATTTTTCCCACATAGTGTACAGTGTTTCTGAAGACCACCAACATCAGCCTCGGAACATAAACCCACCAGGAACATCTTGGTTTACTCTGCAGTGTGATAAAACACTCGTCAACAAAAAATAATAATAATCATGATTATCCTTTTGTTGTTGTTGTTGTTTTTGTGCAAAATAAGAAAGAATAAAAAGAAGATGGAAAAAAGAGACAAACAACATTCATTAAAAAACAGTTTGCTCCAATCATATTGGACAAGAAAGCTTGGTTTTCATTCAGGAGAACAGACTGTACAATATAAAACCATAAACAGAAGTTTCTTAGTATATCTCTGGGACAAACTGAGGTCTTGATTCTGAACTCACAATTGCTCCTTTAAGACAGCCACACAATGTGAGTCACAGAACGTCACAAATAAAAAGTGCTCTCTCTGCTGCATTTTGGCACAAACTTCTCCATTAAGACATGCCTGTATTGTTACAACCTGATACAAAATTCATGAAATGTAAAAATACCAAAAYCCCAAGCACCTAATCATTGTTTCTGATGTTTTTGACCCACTTCACAGGCCTCTCACCTTACTTTTTATTACAAAGCCTCTCCAGGCATAAAGCATTGCACAAAAGGATACAGTAGAATCCCAATCACCTCCTGACCACACCGACATGACAACAAATCTTGAACTTATTTAAACTGAAAAGTATATACAACACATTGTAATTTTTCCTCCTTAAAGAGCTCCATCAGTCTGCTGAACATACAATAAAGACCTCTATCAGCAGCCTGGTCTGATCCAGTTAAAGACTTGGGTATCATATTTTATGGGAGCAGATTGATTCTTACTTTACGAGTTGGTCCCTTAGACAGTTAAGAAATATCAAAGTTATAAGCTAAAATGTTTAAGACTTTGACCGAGAAGCTCCCAGTTCAACTTGCATAAAATGTTTCCATGGTTTTGCTCAGAAATTTGTGTAAAAAAAGAAAAGAAAAGGGCATTGCTGTTGAAATTACAATGGCCACATAATAATGTAAGAATAAGTTGTCCTTATGAAACATAGTAATGTGATATCCACAGGTACTGAACTGTCATTCTGTAGGGTTTTATTTGTGTGTGTTGTAAAGATTTCAACAATAGACAGAAAGGGAGGGAGTGAGAGGGTKGCGAGAGGAGGTTTCCTTTCCTCAGAAAATGCATGTTAGGTTCATTGGTATCTCTAAATTGTCCCTAAGGTATAAGGTTTGAGTTTCATTATTTGCCTCATTTGTCCCTGTGTGGCCCTGTGACGGACCTGCAGCCCTGCCTATCACACAATGACTGTTGGGAGTACCAGCATCAGAGAAATAGTATCCATTATTTTGCATGAAACTAACATCCATGTCAAGTTGTATGGATTGTCCGTTACACACATTGTCCACTATTTTGAATGTATAGAGACACATCGAGAAAATCTCATAGATTTTTTTTTCAAAAACTTAACTTCCAATTTGTTTCACGTACCAGTTAAGCTGTAATAAAATGCAAGAAAGTTAGAAAGTTTGCTCTGTTCTCTTACCCACACTAGACTGTACCTGCTCCCCTGCATATGCTGCCAACCCAGCCCCTTTCTGTTGTATGAAACTTACCAATTTATGAAGGTCAGTATACAGGTAAAGCTGTAGAGGTTAACATGTAAAAACTGACAAAGTAATCAGGGTTCTGCAATTATTTTATCCCTTTTTAAAAKCTTAGGCATTACCAATTAAAAATTTTTCACCCATTTTTGTGTTTTCTAAAAAAGAGAAGTCAAGAAATATCAGCGTAACACTATTGGCAACATATATTTTTAAATGACAGTACCGAGCACAGGAAAGAAGGCAAATATGCTCTTTCTTATCTGCTAAATAAAGGTGTTGKTTTTTTTTTTCAGTTTGCCTTTTTTTTCTATCAAGGTCGCTCATCTTGAAAATAATTTTGATGGGAACTTTTCAGAGTAGTGTAATGCCCTCTCCATCCAGTTAAAATGGCTGTCATATTTTCACATATTTAAAAACAGGTACTTGTTGACTTAGCAATGCAAATGCAAATGTACAAAAAATATATAAAAAAACACCAAAAGAATTTAAACATTATGCACATGACTTATTTGACCTAGCTTCACATTTCAGTTCATTACTGCATAGGTGACTGAATCACTACCACAGATGAGATGTTTTCATTTCATGATGACACTTTTTTTACTTTTATATTCTCCTTCTAGAGCCACCTTTTTTCAGTGTGTCTTACAACGTTATAAAAAGATGGGTACTGCATAGCCTGTCTGAGCACTATCAGCCCCAATACCACTTGTTAAGGTCATTAAATGACTTGTACTCCTTGTGTCTTCTCAAGTAATCACAAGCTAGGCATGTGTGCTCTGCCCAGAAATGGGCTCTCTTTACTTTAAAGWGCTGCCGCCACTTAAAGTATCTCAGATACATTTCCTCATTCTTGTCCAGGAGCAGCAGGTACTCTGCCAATTCCTTGGGTGAAGAGAAATCATCCACGTGGATAAAAGCATCCCCTTGAATAAAGTTTTCATAGTTCTGCCTGGTTGAGCCAAGAACCACTGGCACTGTGCCCACAGAAAGTGGAACATATAGTTTCTCCGTGATGTAGTCTTTGTGTATGGAGTTCTCAAAAGACAAATAAAACTTACAGCTGGCCATGGTGGGGATATAGTCTTGGTCAGAGACGTGCTCCCCAAAGGCTTGTCCATATGCATGAACCTCGATGTGTTTGTACAACTCGTTGTAGTATTTAACCCGCACATGCTCAGGGTTCCAGTTGCTTACGATCCAGCAGAGCAGTTTGTTTTTGCCAGGTGGCACAAAGTCCTCCTCGGTATCTGTTGCTACAATGGTCCCATAAGGCACTTCAATGTCAGAATCCTGACGGTAATTGAGAGTCAAATTGAACAAGTTGTTGATCTCTGGCAGCTGAGGGGAATGTGAAGGCGACTCCAAGTTCATCCATATCCACTTCTGGAACGGCGGTCGCTGTTGAGTTGGCAGGTTGGACAGGTCTCTGGCGATGTCTCTGTGGTGGATAACCACCCCATCTGATTTGTTGTAGAAGTTTCTGTCTGCTGTGATGAAGCAGCCTTCGATGTTGAACTCTGAGCTGCAGACGTTCAGGTCATATGTTTGTCCAAAGGGCCAAAGCCAGACCAGTACAGTGGTCAGGTTTTTATTGCTCTTTGTAGAGAAGAGGTTCTTGACCTGGTCTGTGGAAACTGTTGACTCTACTGGGCCGTATAACCAGCTGGTGGATGGCTTAAAATACATCAAAAAGACAGTCACAAAGCATCCCAGAATGAAGATTGTGATCAGAAGGGGTCGCAGAATTTTGTTAAAAGTTGCAGATGACATACTCTGACCTGCAAAGAGCACAGCACAGAGAAAAGGCAGATTCATTATCAGGAACAAACATATTACACAGTATTAATAAAGATTTTCATGCTAGATTGCTAAAATTTAACAGCATCTGTGGCACATTTGAGAACATTTGATTTGAACTGTTACGATTTCCAATGAACCAAAAAGTTAGAATAAAACTTAAGTAGTGGTGACTTTCTAATCTCAGTGTTTTATAGACCTGTTTTGGCTGTATGTTCCAATCCACGCAAGCTCTCTTGGGATTCAGTGCTCAAAGACGAAAACTGCTGGTCACAGCTGAGAGATGCTTCATGGCTCTTAAGGAGAAAGATAATGACCCCTAATGATCTAATGAAGTGCACTGAATCGTGAATCAGCGGGTCTTCTTAATGATACCTCCTGTAGTTGAGCATGAAGAGAAAGAACAAGAAAAAAGATCCATGAAGCAAACAGAAATGATCAAATATTACAGCATAAAAGGCACGTTTGAAGGTTTTAGTTGACAAGTAAATACACATTTTGTGAGAACAAACAAAGGAGATGAATAGTATAAACTGAAAGAAAAGAATAACCAGCTGACACTAGTTATTATTAATATTTTTCACTTGAAGCATAGGTTTAGGCTTATTCACATTTTTAAGTTTTTCCAGCTCCCTGGAGCTCAACACACTGAGTTATCTTGAGAAAAACAATTTATTGAACCATATCTGATCTGAAGCTACCATGATTTTCTGGATGTTATTGCTTATCTGTCCCCAACACTGACACTGCTTTGGCACAAATGACTTGCTGGTGGATGCTGACTCTCATTTCTTCTCTTTACTCATCCATCTTGATCTGATTGCTGTTTTGATCACATTTCATATGTATATGAATGAGTATTTCTATAAATGGTATCAGTTGGTAGAGCTGATGCCTCTCAGCAAGAAGGTTGCCGGTTCAAATCCAGGCCCGGGGACCTTTCTGGGTAGAGTTTGCATGTTCTCTCCTTGCATGTGTGGGTTCTCTCCGTGTACTCCAGCTTCCTCCCACAGACCAAAATCATGACAGTTAGGTTAATTGATAACTCTAAATTGTCCCTAGGTGTGAGTGAGAGAGTGAATGGTTGTTTGTCTCGTTTGTCTCTATGTGTGGCCCTGTGATGGACTTGCGACCTGTCCAGGGTGTACCCCACCCCTTGCACTATGACTGCTGGACATGGGTACCAGAGACCCACATGACCCTGAAAGGAATAAGCGTGTACAGAAAATGGGTGGATAGCATGATTATTGCACTTCCTGTCGAATGAAGTGGGTGGGGTATGAAAGGAGCTGTGAAGCTCTTTCCCTCACTTTGTTGATCTCCTGAAGTGGAGTTTGTCTGAGGCTGAACCACAGACTGTTGGTATGGTGCGTGCAAAGCTAATTTTGTCGTGGTGAAGGCTAACTTGTTCTGTTCCTCCTCCTGTGTGTGCGTAAGTCTGCCCAYGTGTCAGCAGGCAGGTTGCCTTCTGACATTTGGGACCTCTGCTGTTTTGTCTCTGGACCTCCATCAGCTGTGGTTTTGTCTCCAGATAACATCGCTAAATTGTGTCCAGATGCTGGTGGGAGCTCAACATGTTTCCAAGCGTTGGTGTTTGGGGCGTGGCATCTTAACGCCTGATTTGCGTCTCATGGTGGTGCGGCCAATTAGCCACCCACCTGGTCTTGACCTTAATCTTAAAATTGTTATTTTCTCAGTTTCTTCTTAGAGTTTAAATGGTTAATTTTATTTCCCTACTGGACATTAAATTTTCAGTTTATTGTTTTTTTTATATAACTCAGATGTTTTGGGCTGGCATTTGTTTGTTTTGTTTTGTGTAATGATATAGTAATTTGGTTATTTTGTTTTCGTTGTATTGGACTTTGCCACCTGTGTTGATGACTGTGTTTCTTTTTCCTTTTTTTCAGTTTCTGAGGTCCAATGGTGGTGCTGGTGTGGTGGCGGTGCCTTCATCTTCTGTGTGCCAGGAATCCTGAGTTAGGGTTGTCTCACCATGTGCTGGGTGCTTTAAAGGTTTTTTTTTTTTTTTTTTTTTTTGTTCTTGTTTGCTGTGTTTGGTGGGTGCCATCTGATACTGCAGGCTCCTACTGGTAACCTCAGCTTCTGTTTTCTTTTTGTTTATTTCTCATATTTTTGGTATCTGTTAGGGGTGATTTTTGTTTTGTTTTAAACATAATATTTTTAAATAGAAACAAATGAATTGTTATAAATCTGAACAACAGTCTCAGGTGTGTATATA